CCAGGCTAATTTTGTACTTTTAGTAGAGACAGGGTTTCTCCATGTTAGTCAGGCAAGTCTCGAACTCCCGACCTCAGGTGATCCGCTGGCCTCTGCCTCCCAAAGTACTCAGATTACAGGCATGAGCCACCAAGCCCAGCCTACAATGTATTTCTATTGGACAGCGCTGGCACAGAAGAGAGATTAGCAAACTAGGGCCCTCTCTTCAAAGCCAGCCTGCCACCTGTTTTGGCAAATAAGTTTTATTAGCACACAGCCAAGCCGGTGTGTATACGTTTCATGTATGGCTATTTTCAAGGTACAACAGCAGTGCTGAGTAATTGCGGCAGAGATTGTATGGCCCACAAAGCCTAACTTACCGCCTATTTGATAGAAAACATTTGCTGACTAGACCTCTGAACTAGAACCACGATATAATTTGTGATCTAGAGCTACCAGAAAGCAAACGGCTTTTTACAAAGGAAGCTTTTTATAGTAGTGCTTTATAACTAAATTAGTTTGTTTCTTCCTTTGTAATTTTTATAGTCTGTCTACAGATCTTAGCCATATTTTATTACTTTAACCTGTTTCATCTCTGATATTTAAAGCCAAACACAATTTGTTTAAAATAGCAATGCATAATTAAATAATAAATCAAAATGCAGCTATAAAATCTCGTTTGTCTCCTGACAACTTTATACAGTGTCGATGTTGGTCCCCACGGCTTCACCCTGTCAGTGCTGTGGGACTATAGCACACGGCCTGCAAGTGTAACCATGGTGCAAGGTAACCCCAGTGACTAATCCACTCGGCTGGGGTGACAGTTGACTTGAATAATCCCGGATATAAAGAAAAGAGTCTTCAGTGCGCCTCTTTATCATGAATAGCATGTGCAACTCCAAAGCCAACTTCAAAGGTAGGGAGGAGGTGGTAGTTGGCTTTGGTCTAGAGCTGTTGATTAAACTGGCAGAGCTAAGAAAAAATTCATACTCCTCTACATAGATTTCTTCCAAGTCAATCAGTGAAGATGGAAAATGAGAACGTTTTTGGCCCTGTAAATTCAGAGAAGTTTCTAATTGGTGCCATATGATAGACTGACTTAGGTAGTGTGTTTTGGTGTATATCTCAGAATCCAAATCAGCAGAGCATAAGATACTGAAACCATTTTCAAAGGCCTATGTATCTGTGCAGCACAATCCAGTTTGCATGCTGTGTTAGAGGACTATAGACCTCGTTTTTCTAGTGGCACGTTAATAACTATACTGTACTTAGTTTTATTTGAACTAAGAAGTGTTTATAAGATTACGACAGCTTTAGTTTCTCTAATCTCCTGATTTTTTTTTCCCAATAATGGGTAATTAGTTTAAATTGTTTGCCTTAGCAAAGTAGATTATGTAGGTAAGAAGGTTTTCCTTTGAATTAAAAAGTTTAATGTCAGGCATCTTATATAAATTATTACTGCCATATAACAGAATCATGTCACATGTTGGTGGCTTTTTGCTCCTTAACCAGATTTACACCAGTTGTGTTACTTAATCCAGACAGAAAAGGTGCCATTCTGTAATAATTTGTAAAAATGCATATAAAACATACTTCTAGGTAAATGGGGTGTTTGTTTTAAAATGATTCTATCTATTAGGTAGATGTAGAAAAAAACAACTTTAAAAAATTTTTTTTCACCGGACCCAGTGCCTCATACCTGTAATCCCAGCATTTTGGGAGGCTGAGGCAGGCAGATGACTTAGGTCAAGAGTTCGAGACCAGCCTGACCAACATGGTGAAACCAGATCTCTACCAAAAGTACAAAAATTAGCCAGTTGTAGTGGCACACACCTGTAGTCCCATCTACACGGGAGGCTGAGCCTGAAGGACCACTTGAACCTGGGAGGCAGAGGTTGCAGTGAGCCAAGATCACACTACTACACTCCAGCCTGGGTGACAGAGCGAAACTGTCTCAATAATAAGAATAATAATAATTGCACAAATCAGAAAATCATGAATCCTCAGCCATGAGCTCAGACCCAACTATTTCACCTTGCTGATTTCTCAGCTTGGTACTTTGCTAAAAGGAAAAACAAAAAGAATATTTATAATTACCCATGTTATTACCATGGATTGATCAGTAATAAGTATCATTTTAAAATGAGAAAGTATATTATCTTAAATGTATACACAATGGAAAGCTGGACCTGAACAGACCCTCAGTAAAATAAAACGTTCATTTTTCAGGACTTGTATTAGCACCTACTAGTGCTATTTAAAGGCTTATTGTCACTACTGTGCACATCTCCAATTTTTTTCTACTTGTCATTAATTTTAGTATCCATATTTTAGAAATAGTGTGGCTGTGTTTTACTGAAATAGGCACATCAATCCACATCTTGTTCTTTTTGTTTATATCTGCAGTCCCATTTAAATTCAGTATTTCCAACCACAAACGGTGTTGGAAAATTCTATTTCAGGCTTATGAGAAAAAGTACAGCAGGATATAGTTCAAAGCTTAAGCTGTATTTATTTCTGTTCCTCTAGAGCTAGCATTCCACAAAAAATAGTTATGCTGAAATAAACAGTGGTAGGAAACCAGTGGTTTCAAGGCTATCTGCATTTTCTAAAGCCCTTCTCCACGTGAAGCCTGAGGACACAGTTGGTGCGGCAGTGCCTCCCTGGAATGATGATATTTGGAGTCCATCACAGTTCCACCGCAGAGGTGAAAAACTCTTAACATGAGGCTTTTCAGCATTTGGGACCACCTGGAGCGACCCTGTGCTCAGCCTGCAAATGCAGACAAAAGCTCCAGTGTACTGTCTGAGTGGTTTTTTTTTTTAATTTTTAAGTTCCAGGTACATGTGCAGGATGTGCAGGTTTGTTGCATAGGTAAACACGTACCATGGTGGTTTGCTGCACCTATCAACTCATCACCTACGTATTAAGCCCAGCATGCATTAGCTATATCCTGGTGCTCCCTCTCCTCTCACCCCGCCCCATGACAGGCCCCAGTGTGTGGTGTTCCCCTCCCTGTGTCTGTGTTCTCATTGTTCAGCTCCCACTTATAAGTGAGAACATGTGTTTGGTTTTTCTGTTGCTGTGTTAGTTTGCTGAAGATAATGGCTTCTAGCTCCACCCATGTCCCTGCAAAAGACATGATCTCACTCCTTTTTATTTCTGCATAGTATTCCATGGTGTGTATGTACCACATTTTCTTTATCCAGTCTATCACTGATGGACATTTGGGTTGATTCCATGTCTCTGCTATTATGAATAGTGCTGCAACGAACATACATAAAAAGAACATGTATCTTTTTAACAGAATGACTGATCTCCCACTGGGTATATACCCAGTAATGGAACTGCTGCATCAAATGGTATTTCTGGTTCTAGATCCTTGAGGAATTGCCAGGCGTGGTGGCGCTTGTAATCCCAGCTACTCAGAAGGCTGAGCCAAGAGAATCACTTGAACCCAGGAGGTGGGGGTTGCAGTGAGATACCAAGTGCAGTGGTGAGATACCAAGACCTCGCCATTGCACTCCAGCCTGAGCAACAAGAGCTAAACTCCCCCATCTCAAAAAATAAAAAATAAAAATGAAAAAAGTATACCTGCAAACCAGTCCAGATGCTAGCCTCTTCACTTCAGATGCCATCCTGCAGGCCCAGGGAATAGCTTTCTACTTCAGTCCAGAAGCCTTGTGATCAGGTAGAAAAACAGCAAAAGTGGCAAAAAATAAAACCAAATCAGCACTCGTCTTTAACCATAATCCACGGATGAAATTTACTCTTGAAAGATAAAGTGGAACAAGGCACGGTGTGGTGGCTGATGCCTGTAATTCCAGCACTTTGGGAGGCCAAGGCGGGTGGATGATTTGAGGTCAGGAGTTTGAGACCAGTCTGGCTGACATGGTGAAACCCCATCCCTACTAAAAATATAAAAATTAGCCAGGCATGGTGCTGGGCACCTGTAATCCCAGCTACTTGGGAGACAGAGGCAGGAGAATTGCTTAAACTCAGGGGGCGTAGGTTGCAGTCAGCCGAGATCGTACCACTGCACTCCAGCCTGGGCGAGAGAGATGGAATCTCACTCACTGGACTGAGATTCTGTCTCAACAAAAAAGATAAAGTGGAACAAGAGCTTCAAAGCCATGTTCCTAACTAGGTTATACCTTATAAAACTAAAAAGAATACGTATGGACGTAAGATACAAAGGGCATGATCACTAATTAAAACCCTAAAACGGTAACAGCTGTCTACTGTAAACAGGCATAGCAGCTGCACCTATACATTGTATTACGTACCTTACGTGTTTCTGAAATTCAAGAAGTCATCAGGCTGAGTATGGTGGCTCCCTGTGATCCCAGCACTTTGGGAGGCCAAGGCAGGAGGATTGCTTGAGGCCAAGAGTTCAATACCACCCTGGGCAAAATGGTGAAATCCCATCTCTACAAAAATAAGAATTAAAAAAAAAATAGCCAGGTGTAGTCACAGCTTTGGGAGGCTGAGGTGGGAGGATCACTTGAGACTGTAATGAACTGTGATTGCACCACTGCACTCCAGCCTGGGCAACAGAGTGAGATACTATCTCTAAAAACAAATTAAAAATACATTTTTTTTAAAAGAGACTAAATGAATCTAGGATCACAGAGTTCAAATCTGGTTGCAAAAATATACCAGTTGTCCTTGAAACATTCACTGTATTTGATGGCTATCTTTTCTCTAAGCATATTGTAATACAAATATAAAATTGTTTTATTTCAGAAAACAATAGAATACATCAGCTGAAGTTACCCCAAAAGAAATGAAAAAAAAAGTTCTGGGTGTGCCCTTAAAATTAAAGGGAGTTCCACCTCCCCTTCTTTCTCTGTTCTGCCACCTGTTATGCAAATGCTATGATTACTGACTGAGAACAAGCACAAGACAGAGCTTCTAAAACTCAACAACAAAACCCAATTCAAACATGGGCAAAGGACTTGAATAGGCATTTTGCTAAAGCAGATATACAAATGGCCAACAAGTACATGGAAAGATGCTCAACGTCACTAGTCATTAGGAAAATGGAAATCAAAACTGCAATGAGATACCATCTCACACCCATTAGGATGGCTACTGTCAACAAGCAGAAAATACTAAAGTATTGGTAAAGACGTGGAGAAATTGGTACCCTTGTGCACCATTGGTGAGAGTGTGAAATGGTGCAATCACTGTGGAAACAGTATGGTGGTTTAATGGGCACAGAGTTTCAATCTTATAAGATGAAGAGTTCTGGAGGTCTATGGTGGTGATGGTAGCACAACATTATGAATGTAATACCACTGAACTGTACCTTTAAGAAGAGTTCAGATCAGTCAGGTGCAGTGGCAATCCCAGCATTTTGGGAGGCCGAAGGGGGCAGATCACTTGAGGTCAGGAGTTTGAGACCAGCCTGGCCAACATGGTGAAACCCCCGTCTCTACTAAAAATACAAAAGTTAGCCAGGAGTGGTGGCGGGTGCCTGCAGTGCTAGCTACTCGGAAGGCTGAGGCCGGAGAATTGCTGAGGCACGAAATCACTTGAAATTTTACCCAGGACGTGGAGGCTGCAGTGAGCTGAGATCATGCCACTGTACTCCAGCCTGGGCAACAGATCAAGACCCTGTCTCAAAAAAAAAAAAAAAAAAAAAGGTAAATTTTATGTATTTTACCACAAAAGAAAAATTAAAACACACACGCGCACACACACACAAGTGTGACACTTTTGTTGGAAGGACCCTGGGTCCCTGGCATTGTGGAACTGGACTGCTTATGTGACAGAAATAAATGTCATTTCAGCCACTGTCTTTTGGGTCAATAATGAACCCTCAGCTCTTATTTTCAGTCTGCCCCCCACCTTTTACATATAGAGAAATACATTAAAAAGTAAGCCACCAGGATTCTGCAAGGATCCAACCACCAAAACCTAGTCTACATCGGTGTTTCCACCTTTATTTCACTACCATCCTCCTAAGAAGCCCTTTGAGAGGTTTTTCCCAATTAATTTCCCCATCCATGACACAAAAGTACTGTACAGTTTATCTGTCTAGATACTGTAAGTATATCTATGCCTTTTTGTTTTTGATGCGACAGAGTCTCGCTCTGTCACTCAGGCTATAGTGCAGTGGCGTGATCTTGGCTCACTGCAACCTCCGCCTCCAGGCTTAAGTGACTCTCCTGCTTCAGCCTCCTGAATAGCTGAGTCTACAAGTGTGTGCCACCACACCTGGATAATTTTTGTATTTTTAGTAGAGATGGGGTTTTGCCATGTTGGCCAGGCTGGTCTCTAACTCCTGACCTCAGGTGATCTGCCCGCCTTGGCCTCCCAAAGTGCTGGGATTACAAGCGTGAGCCACCATGCCAAGTCTGTGTATCTGTGCTTTATACATAGAAAGAGTAACTTTTTTAACCCCTAGAGACCAGTTTTTCCCCACTATGGGGGTCATATTGCCATAGGGAATTCATCCTTGCATATAAATGAATTGGTTGAATAAAGACGGTTATAGGAAGAGAAAGCTATTTCAAACCTTATTTCCTGGGACCTTGATTGAACATCCAAAAGGTCATCAGGAGATTGTGAGGAAAACTCTGTAAGAGGAGGCTGGATTTGTTACCTCCATCACGTGGAGAATCACTAAAGTACAGAATCGACTCAATACAGCTAGACTCCATCTAGCTGTTGGGATAGTTTCAGTCTCAGAGCTTTCGGACCTGCACAGCTGCAATCAAACCTGTAGACTTTATGCATAAGGAATCCTTTGGTTTATCTCATCTTTGTCCATGGGTTGATTCAGGAAAGTTTGTGGGGTGCACTTGATAAGTGTTAGTGAAAATCCAGCCCTGCACTAGATTAGCCCTAATTTAAGGCATGATAAATGTCTGAATTCAAGAGTGTTAGAAACACATCCTTTTCTGGCTGAAAGTCCTGCTTACAACAGGAAAAAACAAAACAAAAAATGTCTCAAGCCTGACAACACGCCTTGGCATCTATTAGTAGGAAAAACCTTCTGCTGGGATTTGTGGGCACATGTACATGCCTGTTTTGCAGGAAATGACATTACAGCAGTCCAAGGAAACAAACTAGGACCAGCCAAGGACACTGATTCTCGGACTAACATCTAAAGAATCATCACATGTGGCGAAAGCTTATGTAATAAAACATCATCATCTGCTTTAATTGAATACCTTACCTATTCATGTCCTCATTCAAAAATACACAAGTTATTCTAACTATGGAAATGAAAAAAAAGTGTAGGTGGTAACCATGGGAATGAAAAAAGTACAGACAAGTAGAGGTAAGCAGAGAAGCAGGTGTTAAAGAAGAAAACGAGGCCAGGCTCAGTGACTCACCCCTGTGATCCCAGCACTGTGGGATGCCAAGGTGGGAGGCTCACGTGAGGCCAGGAGTTTGAGACCAACCTGGGCAACATAGCGAAACTGCACCTCTATTCAAAATCGACCAGGCAAGGTGGCTCATGACTATAATCCCAGCACTTTGGAGGCCAAGTTGGGTGTATCACCCGTGGTCAGGAGTTTGAGAGCAGTCTGGCCCACATGGTGAAACCCTCTCTCTATTAAAAATACAAAAAAAATTAGCTAGGCGTGGTGGTCCATGCCTGTAATCCTAGCTACTTGGGAGGCCAAGGCAGGAGAATCACTTGAACCCAGGAGGTGGAAGTTGCAGTGAGCCAAGATCACACCAGTGCACTCCAGCCTGGGTGAGAAGAGTGAAACTCTGTCTCAAAAAAATAATAATAATAATAAATTTTTAAAAGAAAATGAAACAAAAATTCGGTAAATACTTTGCTAACTTTACATTTTATAGAATCCTTAGATTTGTGCACCTATGCTAGTCTACCTAAAAATTTCACTATTTTAAAGCACTACAAATCTAGTTAATATAAAGTAAAACAAAGAGAAAAATACAGACTATTTCATAATGCTTTTTCTGAACGTTCTTTGACCAAACTGAAGGTCAGGCTTCTTATTCTCACAGTCCAATAATGAGATGCAGATGAACTGGGAAAGGAAGGAGTTTATTTCTGTAACTGGTTACAGGGAGAAGCCCTAGGAATTACCCCTAGACTAACTCAAAATCATAAAGTTTGCCAGGGCTTATATACCTTCTATGCAATATGTCTGTACGTGTGCATTCATCTAAAGATATAAGTGATTGACTTCTTATCTATAACTAATATCTGAGTCCTGAAGACCTTCCTCTGGAGCCTCAGTAAATTTACTTACGCTAAATGGGTCCAGGTGCTGGGGTGATTATCCTTATCTTGTTTCCTGCTAAATCATGGAGGTTTGGGGAGTTCCTTCAGACCCCAATAAACTTGTTTGTGGAGGTCTGGGGAGTTTCTTCAGACCCCCAGTGAAACTTGTTTAATCCTAAACGGGTCCTGTTGAGAATTCCTCGTCATCTTGTCATGCTCCAAGGCCCAGGAAAGGGCTGGGCAAAACTCCTGGTGGGCTTTTGTTTCATTCCAGCCTTTGTATAGGGCACTGGCTCTATCACCTTTTAATATTTAACTTAACCACTCAGTCAGTACTGAAATGGTTGTTATGGAGGCCTGTGTCAGTGAGACCTGGCCTGCCACATGAAGACACGCAGAGAATCAGCCATCTATTGACAACCATTTTAAAGGAGAGAAAGAGGAATCCAGTGTGATGTCAGTGGCTGTGGGACACTGGAATGATGCAATCATGGAGGAAGCTCATCCCTGGCGCTTGGCCTGGGTTCCCTAAGAACCAGGCGTGCCATGCCAATCTCAGAGGACTGCCATAGACGTCCACCTCTGTGGTCTCTGACATGAGTCATACAGAGTGCGTAAAACAATCCAATGGGATGTATGCAGAAAACACTAGGATTTCCTGTGTAGTGACTTTGTTTAAAAATACGTTTATATGGGCTGGGTGTGGTGGCTCATGCCTGTAATCCCAACACTTCAGGAGGCCAAGGCTGGAGGATCACTTGAGCCCAAAAGTTGAAGACCAGCCTGGGCAACATGGTGAGACCTTGCCTCATTTAAAAAAAAAAAAAAAACTTTATATGTATACATAAAGAGAAGACAAAAAATTTTTTTCTGATTAAAGTTTGGAGGCTGGGCGCAATGGCTCATGCCTGTAATCCCAGCACTTTGGGGAGACCAAGGCAGGCAGATCACTTGAGGCTTAGAGCTTGAGACCAGCCTAGCCAACATGGTGAAGCCCCATCTCACCTTGAAGTACAAAAATTAGCTAGGCATGGTGGCACACGCCTGTAACCCCAGCTACTCAGGAGACTGAGGCGTAAGAATCACTTGAACCCAGGAGGTCAAGGCTATAGTGAGCTGAGATGGTGCCACTGCACTCCAGCCTGGGCAACAGAGTGAAACACTGTCTAAAAAAGA